CTTCCCTAATCCGGCTCCCTCCTCCTCGAAAACATGAGAGAAGCGGGTCCTGGAATAATCAAGACGTCAAACATGTGAATTCCGTGCCTGAATTAGAAGCGTCCTCAGAAGAGGTCCCTGCGGAACCAAATTCTGAGAGGGCTCCAACCAATGTGCAGCTGTAAAGTTCGGGTTGGTCCAGCCGGGGACACTGGTCTCGCGCGAGGCTGCTTTACCTTCTTGGGCACACCATGCTTTCATGCAAAACAGTCCGATCTTGCTGGTGGCAGCTGCTGTTGATGCTGAAGGGTCCTGGAGGGACGGGTCCAAGAAGTTCGTCGCGGTTGTCAAGCTCCCTGGGCCCATCCATGAGACCAAGGAGCGTCAACAGACACGACCCGGCTTGAAGGACGAGTCCTGGGAGAATCCTGGTCCAGGACCTGTTTCCCTCAGGACCCCTCGGCTTCATGGCGACTCCTCCTGCTCCTGCTCCTCCTCCTCCTCCTCCTCCTCCTCTTCCTCTTCCTCTTCCGCCTCCTCGGTCCTCGATCCTCGATCCTGGCCCCTTGGCCTGTTCAAGTCTCTGGAGGCCCCCGTCGCAGCCCTCGGGGGACCTCCGATGATCTCCTGAGAGCTCCGCAAGCCTCCACCTTTTGACGTTGGACAATTTCAAGAACTGAGCGTGCAGCTCCACCTCCTCCTCCTCCTTCTGTGCCCCAGCGGCGCGCAAAGTGGATCAACACTGGGCAAGGTGCGCTGGAGCGGCCTTGCAAGAGGCCCCATTTTGGGGGGCTTCCAGGACCACTCCACGGCCTGTTCCAACAGAAGCGGCCTGCGAAGACGCCCCGTGCTCGCCGACATAAGACGAAGCAAGGACGAGGATAAAGTGGGGTGAGGATAAATCGAGAATCCCTGAGATCTGGCGGCTCTGGAGGATATATCGGGCGTCGCAGCCCTCTCAGAGCGTCCAGGAATGCTCTGAGAGCGTTCTGGAAGGCTCTGGCACGGATTTATCTTTATCCTAGCCCCGTCCGACCCCCCTTCCGGGGCAAAGAATTGACGGATTGATCCTCGTCCTAGCCCGGTCCGACCCCCCTTCTGGGGCAAAGCATTGAGAGACCTCTGCTCTGAAACTGGGACACGCGCTTGCGCGCAGGAGCCCCAGACAGCTGGGCATGGCGTCGCAAGGCGTGGCCGAGTCTGGCCCCAGAACTGTCGAGCATGTCCGAGCACTTTTAGATCTAGAAGCCTTCCAAATGGGGTCCGAGTAAGTGGGGCCGAAGAATCACGCCGCATCGCTGACACATCGGCGACGCAGTTCGAATCTCGAACCCCCACTGGCCCGAGCCTGCAGGCAGCGGAGGAGAAACTGGGTCACCCGCCTGCTGATCCTTCGGGGCGCGTTCCGAGGATGGGGCGGCGGTCTCCTGCGTCCACCTCCGCCTCCCTCCTGCCCCACTCCTCCTCCTCCTCCTCCTCCTCCTCCTCCTCCTCCTCCTCCTCCTCCTCCTCCCTCCCTCTTCCTTCCTCCCTCCTCCGTCCCCCTCCATTGTTTTCCTTGCGAACAACTCCTCCATGTCGCACCTCGAGGCCAATCAGAAGGGCGGGCCGGGCGTTTCGCCCGAAGCTTCCTCACCGATGACGTGCCTGAAGCTCATTAGCAACTGACAACATTTTCGCACATGGAGGACGGGCGGTTTTCATCATGTGACTCTCGCCTTAACGCCACGCGCAGTCGTTTTAAAACTGAGGAGTTCCACGGATTGAGGGCGGGCGGTTTTCCACATGTGGCTCTCGCCTTAGCGCCGCGCGCAGTCGTCTTAATCCCACCAGCTCTCTGGGCGCAGGTGGTTTAACGAGCTTCCCTGGGCCTGGGAAGGGGGGGGGCTGCGAGGCATTGTAGCCGCCCCGGATGGCCCAAGATGGCCCCAAGAGGGCCTCAGAGAGCCCAAGATGGCCTCCAAGATGGCTCAAGGTAGCTGAAGATGGCTCAAGATAACCTCCCACATACATCGAAGACGCCCCAAGACGGCCCCAAGATGGTTTCAAGTGCCCTCAAGGCCCTCCAAGGACCCCACCAAGGGGCCAACATGGCTCCAAAACCTTAGGGAAATCGATGATTGTTGTGTTCTCGCTGTTTCGCTTCTGATGAGCTTCCGAGGCCTCAAGATGGCCCCAAGACGGCCCAAGCGAGCCCCAAGAGGGGCCCGCCAAAGAGGGCCCAAGAGGGCCCGACGAGCGCCCAACAGCACCCCTAGAGCGCCCCAAAAAAGGCCCCAAGAGGCAATGTGTGAGCCTCCGAGGGGGGGTGGCCTGAATTGAGGACCCCCTTCCTTTTAAGCTACGGTTGCCAAGATGGCCCCAAGAGACCCCTCAGACCCGCCCAGAGGGCCCAACGAGGGCCGCAAGATGGCCCCAAAAGAGGTCGACAGGCGAACAAAGACATTTCCCGAGGCGAACGAGGAATTCCCTGGGGGGGAACGAGGAAACTCTGTCCTCCCAAACCACGCGAGCGGACGCGAGCGAGGCGAACCAGGAAATGTTCGGGGTGGAACGAGGAGGTTGTCAAACGCGCCCCAGGAGTTTGTCAAGCCAGGCGAACCAGGAAATGTTCTGGGTGGAACGAGGAGGTTGTCAAACGCGCCCCAGGAACAAAAACAGGAAGCCTGCCGAGCGAGACAACGCCGAGGACACCACCTCGCAACCCTCTAGCCCGTCAGCCAGAGCACAACGCCGAGCAAACCCAGAGTAGAACACCCTGATGACTTCTGGTCTCTAAGCGACCCCCCGATGAGCCTGCGACGTCGTTTATCGATGGGCTACGATATCACCCTCCTATTACACTTTCTCCTCAATCTCTTCCTCCTCCTCCTCCTTCTCCGCGTCCTCCTCCTCCTCCTCCTCCTCCTCTTCCTCCAACTCATCCTCCTCCTCCTCACCTCCTCCACCCCCTGGGCTGGGCTGTCGGGAGCCTTCAGGTCGGAAAAGGACGCAACGTCATCGTTTCTGGATGCGCTGGTGAATTTACGCGAAAGGCTGGATATCTCACCCATCGTTTGTGCATGGCTGGTGAGGTTACGCCAAACTTTTACATAATATCACCCCACTGCTCCCCCACCTTTTCCTCCTCCCTCTACTCCTTCTACTGCTCCCCCGCCTCCTCCTCCTCCTCCTCCTCCTCCTCACCTCCTCGAGCACCACCCCCGCCCCTCATCAACAACAAACCCGCCCCTCTCCGCTTGCCCTCCCTGGGCTGGGTTGTCGGGAGCCCTGGGCCAGGCCCGCAGCCTGAACAACAAACTCATTGCAACAATCGCAACGCAAAAACATGCCCGCATAAATTCTGAAAACTCCCCGTTGACAGCGGCGCCACCCGCCCAGCAGGGTTTTCATTTTCAGGCAAGATCTGGTAGTACGATGGCCACGGAGGGCCAGCTACGTCAGCTGTTTCCCTACCCTTCCCTCTGCTACAGGACTCGACCTAAACAATGTGGTTCGTCCTCGTTTTGTCTTCGTGCCCCCTCGTGTTGTCCTGAATCCACCTGCGCTGCTAAACTAAGTCTAAACGAACACGGCCCACCAAATTGCTAAACCACCGTTTAGGTCGACCCCGGCTCTGCTATCCTACACGTCTGCCGGAGGAACTAGGTAAAGACATGCAGTAAGAAGACGAATAAAGTAGCTTGGGACCAGGCCCTCCCACGTAACAACAACACACAGCACAAGCAGATCAGTTCTTGAAATAGGAAGGCGCTTGAAGTAGATCGGGATCTGGAAATCCAGAAACACCTGCTTCAACTACCAGTATTAGGGTTAGGGATTCATGTTAGGGGTTAGGGTAGGGGGTTACGGTTTAGGCTGTGGGGTCAGGGTGATGGTTTAGGGTTAGGGTTAGGGTTAGGGTTAGGGTTAGGGATCAGGGTAGGACCTCGAACCAGCGGCGGCCCAACGGACCATGCCTTACACATGAAAACTCTGCTTGGCTGGGGGCGCCGCCGTCAAGCGGGAGGTTTCAGAATTATGGCTGGCACGTTGACCGGCCGCGACTATTGCAATGACTTGTTATTCACGCTGATTTCAAATTAATGGTGTCTGCTTTTGTTTGTTGCGGTCTTTCTCTTCCGATTCGATTTCGACGAATAGCATTCAGGTGGGAGCTCGGGTTAAGGTTAGGAAGAATGTGTAGGGTCAGGGCTTAAGGTTTAGATTTAGGATTCGGGTGATGCGTTACGGTTAGGGATGAAATTTGGTCTAGGGGTTCGGGTCAGGTATTATGAGGGCCAGGGCTAGGGGTGAGGGCTCGGGCAGAGCTTAAGGCTAAGGGCCAGGGCTAGGGTTAAGGTTTAGGGTAGGGTTAGGGGTTAGGATTGGGGTTTAGGGTAGGGGACCAGGCGTAGGGGGTTAGGGTTAGGGCTACGGTTTAGGCTTCAGGGTTAGGGTTATGGGTTAGGGTCAGGGGTCATGGTCAAACCTAGCGGTGGACCTGCAGACCTTGCCTTACAAATGAAGCTCTGCCTGGCGGGGGGCGCCGCCGTCAAGCGGGAGTTTTCAAACTTAGGGCGGGCGCGTTGTTCGGTCGCAGCCCTTTCAATGCTTTCTTATTGAGCCTAGTTGCATATTGATAGTGATTGCTTATGCTCGTGCTTATCCTCACTTTGAGAATTGGGCTTTCGGACTTAGTGTTAGGGGTTACGGGTTTAGGGATTGAGGTTAGGGTTAAAGGGTAGGGTTAAGGGGCAGGGTTAAAGGTCAGGGTTAGACGTTGGAATTAGGGTGAGGGGTGACGGTTGGGGTCAGGGGTTGGGATGTGGGCTCGGGCTAGGGTTCGGGTTCAGGGTACGGGATTGAGTTTAGGGTTAGGTTTAGGGTTAGGGCTTAAGGTTTAGAGGTAGGGCTCGGAATTATGGTCATTGGTTAGGGTAGGGGTTAGGGTTTATTTTAGGTGTGAGGGTTCGGGATCGGGTTTAGGGTTAGGTGTTAGGATTAGCGTTTCGGATTCAGTTTCGGGTTTAGGGTTGAAG